AGTAGTTCTGGAAACATTGGCTTCGAAGCATCGCATAAACATCCAATAGCGGGCAGGATCCCCATCGAATGTTATCAGTTCACGTTTTGGAAGACAGGATGACGTGCTGGGTCCAAATTCACTGGATTTGCGTTCCGGACACAGGTTACCATCAGATTGAAGGCCGGAGCAAAACGCTCCCGACTGGGATCGAACGCCGGTACTGTCGGATGCCAACGGACCAACCAACTGAGCTACGGATGCGACGTGCGGACCCCTATAAACAGGCTTCACAAACGACGAGCAGATGGCAACTTCGGAAGAAAGCACACAATCGTCGGCCGGAATAAATCGCGAACGTTCATTAATAAGAGCATCCGACTTAAATTCAGGTTCGCAGTAGTCCTTAGCATCAACGGTATTCGCCTACAACATGCGCATGCTCGTTAAAGCCGACTCCAACAGGCGAATACGGGATTCGGCTTTTCGAAGTTTCTCAGCATCAGTAACATTAACATCACCAAAAGAATCACCAGAAACGGACATGATTGCCCTATTCAACTTATGTACCAACGTCACTAAGCCTAAACTAAGTACGTCGTACGAAAACTAAACTAAAACTACGAACAGATAAACCTACACTTAACGCACGGTCTGGGCAGAAGAAGAAAACGTATTATCCTGTAACCGTGGTTATATAAGGCATAATAAATACAGTATATGACTTATGAATAGGTTTCGCAATCGTAATGCAAGTGGGCAGAAACTGTCCAGCGTGGGGCGGATCGAGTATTCGGGCAGTGTCACAGTAACATAATAATAAGAATGGCCTTGAAACCTCAAGGATGTGTCAGTGATGGAGTGTAAGAAATAAATGTGCGATATGTTAACCGCTTGTAAAACACAGAAAAGCAGTGTAAATGTGCAAGATAATCAGGGAAAAGTGATACCGTGTCCTCAGGTAAGCAATCCAGTTTGGGGATACATCAAAGTTCCTTTTGGACTTTACAGTACCCATGCAGGAAGTTGAGCTTAGTGGCTACTCGTGCTACCCTCGTGATAGGCTATCAAATGTCCGCGGTGACGTATCGCTCCACACCAGGTCTGCTTTGAGTGTGAGACTTGTGAACGCCTGCCGAAACGAAGATGGTTCATACAAACAGTTGTGGTACTCGATCCACCTCAGACGCGGAGAGCTACTCGTGATTACATGTTATTGTAGTTCACTGAGCTGTTGTTTAGATTCGCTGCAACATCTCCGAGACCACATGAGTTGCCGTCATTTTCTACTCATACGTGAATTCAATTGTCTTCGAATACGCTAGCTTGAAGTTCAACTTATCACCGGGCATTGTGATGTCGAAGCAAAATTCGTTGATACGGTGTTAAAACTCGGGCAGCACAACACATTCGCCAACCGACACGCATAACACCGCGCTCTATTCCATCGTTCTAAAAATTGACGTTTCCAACCTGTGAACAACTTGTGTTTGACGTTCGGATCTTGGAGATCCTGGCATGAGTCGAGCGACGAGCTAAGTAAATTGATCTTTGTCGCAATCCGCGTCTCTTGAAGCTTGCTGGTTAGCCATAAGGAATGGAACCGATTGGTGCTTTTAAAGTCTCAGAAAGTCGGATCGGTCAAGTCACATTGGTTCGACAGGGTACGTGGTAAAATAGCTCAACGGCGACGCAGACTGTGGGACAAATGCCTCCACTCTGACTCGGTCAACGACTACGAGGTGTATAAAAAGCATGAAGCATTTGTAACAATGCGAGCAAGCGTCGGCAGTTCGAAGGGCCGCTTCCAACTGCGCAAAGACCGACCTGAAGAAAACGGTTACGCAAGTGAAGAGGCGCCCGAAGCCAGAAGGTAAGGTACGAGTGATAGAGGCCGCGAACGGGTAGCCGTTAACTTCTAGCACGGAGCGTACGTCCTCCTTGGCGGCACACTTTACTTCCGTGTTTGCAAATGATCGGGTGTCTATACCGGGTTCGAAGTGCACCACCCTCACCGAACTCAACATTCTGGATTGTGGCGTGGATCAGGTACATCAACTACTCGCCAAACGACTTCACCAGGTCTGCTAGGCCTAATAGGCTCCACCCACTGATTCGCGCCTGCTGTGGCTGACCTGTTCAACAAGTCGCTGTCCAAAGGTTCGTTGCTGATTGATTCGAAATACTCGGTGGTAAGGCCGATTCCGAAAATGGGAAACCCCAGCAAGATAGACAATTACAGGTCAATCTGTTTGACACATATTTTGGCCATGGTTGCCGAGAACATTGTGAAGCAGAGTTTGCTACATATGTTCCGGTCAAAAGATTTCCTGATGTCCGTACAGCACGGTTTCATGCCAGGTAGTACATGCATCACGAACTTGCTTGTGACGAGGCATGAGTGGTCGAGGGCAGTGAATCAGGGTAACTGTCGACGTGATCTACATTGGTTTCAGCAATGCGCTTGACGAGATCCTCCGTTACAAGCTGAGAGTATGCAGTGTTAGAAACTCACTGCATCAGTGGGTTCGCGAGCTTCTTGTTAGACGAAATTGGAGGGTGCAGATCGATAGCCACCAGTGACTGGTCTCCTTCGCACAGTGGTGGACCCCAAGGCAAGATGCTGGGGCCTGCTTTATATCAACGACTAATCTCAGTTTCTACGATTGCCGTGCGCCCTGTTAGCAGACGACCTGAAGACGTGGAGAGTGGGAAGCACGTCTGATGACTGCGGCCTACATTAGCACTACCTCAACCGCCTTTCCATGTTGTCTGTAGAAGTACGCCTCCCGGTCAATCCTTCCAAGTCAGTATTTATGAGCTTAGGGAACGATGATGACTGTCGAACCCACAGCCTTGAGCGCCAAATGCTATAGCCGACATTTTCCGTGAAGGACGTAGGTGTGTTTTCAGGTTGCAATTTGAAGTGCGTGGACAACACGAGCAAGCTACCCACAAAAGGGACTGCACATGCTCTGAGCGCTCAAACACAGCTTCTGCATCTGGTCTGAAGAGATCGCCACTCGCCTCTTCTCGTCCATCATCAGACTAACGCTAGAGTACGGCTCATCTGCCTATGGCCCGACTACTCGTGATGAAACGCAGAAAACCGAACGGGTTCAACACGTCGCTACCAGGCACATCCCCAGTTTGCAGAGGAATTTGAGTAGCTGGAGTAGCGGTGGTTGGCGAATGGCTGCCGAAGTAAATGCAAGTACGATGAAAAATGAAAATGTATTTGTGAATTTGTAACAGCTGACGGTCGAAAGGCCGTGTACATACAATCGCAGTGGGACTCTCAGCTATGGAGACAGCACATGGCTACTTAGGCCTAAAGTGGTTACAAATGTTTTACCATCGCTGCTTGTGGAGCACAAGTATAGGGTTGTAGCGTCAGCTAGTAGGAAAGTACGGGATGTCCTCGATCAGGTTAGTCCTTTCGAGTCACAAATAGCATTGCAAATGTTGCGTTGGCTTGGACACAGACTACATATGCCGGTACCTCACTTACAGAAAGTTGCATTTTGTCTGCCATGTGGTGAAGAGACAACACCAATCCTTAAGAGGGAAATGCAGTCGCAGGTGACTAAATTGGCTGGATTGGTGCTTGCTTCCTACCAAGTTAAATTCCAAGCCACTCACCTCATGCTTAAGTGGAGACCAGGCGCCACGCTCACAACTGATACCAGTGGTGCGTTTCCTATCATTTAGTCGGACTATCTAGTAAAACTGTGGCTCGTGCTGATTTATCTATGGAAAGTGAAAGTCCCGAAGATGCTGTCTCGCCAACGCATCGTATCTTCACACGTAAGTCAGCCGTCTAGGACAGTGCTGCTGACTTGCTAAAAGCGCCCTGATAGCGACTGCTTGCTCAAGACACTTACGTGCTGTCTCTCACTTCCGTTTTTGTTAGTACTCACTGTTAAGACCATTACGGTTGTGTGAGATCGGTCTCAACACAAAGAACTGGAGACTGCTGATGCTGGTAATACTAACCAAACAGCCGGGCAGCAGAGAAAAGGGTCAGTGAAATTCCATTACAGAAAGACGCTTGCAGATTAATCGTGGTTTCGTCCTAGTAGTTGGTCATGGAGGAGGAAGGTTGGACACAGGGGGAATGATTCCGACCTCTCAGAGCGGCTTGCAGTGAGCACGTTCTTCTGAAGCCGGTGGGGTAGCAGTGCGTGCGAGGACTGCTTGGCTTTTAATGCAAACAAAACCTTTATACTAAGGAGAGCAAATAAAAAGTGGGTAGAAAGGAGCAACTACTCTCTCAGCGTCTCGAAGAAGAACATCAGGAGCACGCAGTACCGACGCTTCGCTGCCGCGCGAGCACCCCCGGTCATGAGTGGGTTAAGCATACTGCGAGAATTGCCCTACCCCCATGCAGGCTCGAACCCAGGCCTTTAGCTTACAATACAAGCGTGTTACCATTAGGTTACGGGCCGGCTGTCTCGAAGAAACTGGCAATGGCGGCCGTCACCCATGGCTAAGTAGAAGTAGCTGGTGGCATGCGGAAGTCATGGAGTCGGTACTAGGCAGGAGTCCGAGGAAGGCGCATCACTGACGAGAGCCAGAAGGTCGAAATAGTTCTGTTTGGTGCCTTTAAAGACATGTCAAGGCCTGCTGACAGAGGCCAGACTGTGATGAAGCAGCTTTTTTACTGGAGCACCAGGTCCTGCATCCCATTCATCATCCCAGCTTTCAGGTGGCGCGATAGTTATCCTTCCACATGGCCAATAGCTGGGCGTGCATTGTGAAGTCAAAATGGCCAAGCTCCGGTGGAGTAGTTTCAGTGAGATAGTGAACTAATGACGCTAGAAAGTTCGCAGGACGGAATGACAGTGCGGCAGCTTACGCAACAAAATCGGCGAACAGTCGAATGGATGGGAATAGGGGCGTTAGGTGACAGAGACAGCAACCTACCGAAAGAGATGCAAAATGTGAGTGTACTCAAAACTAAACGAAAAAGAGCAAAGACAATGCCTGGGTCCCAAGTAAAAACCCGAACACAAACTTACGCAACTAAAGTGATAAAAAAGACGGAGCGCGTAGCAACCCCGCTGACTGAGAAGTATTTCATTTTGCCCATGACCGAGATAGAATATCCGAGAACTGGTCGGTCTGTGCAAGAGAGAGATAGGAGGACATACTAGATCAACCTCATATGGTGTGAGCAGTTTGCACAAAAGACAGACTTACATGGGTGCTAAAGGCATGGCTCAAAGTTAACGGAATGTTCAGTAAGCGCAAACCACAGCAGAAAGGGAAATCGGTTGAGGCGATTAGTGAAAAGCATGCTTCTCTATTGAATGCAACCGTGTCAATCAAAGTAGGTGAGCGAGGAATATGATCCCCTAAGGAGATAGATTAGGTCTCAGGATTCAGGCTTCCCTCAATTTAGTGCTAGAAGTTGAAGCGAAAAACAGCCGAGCTTTCTCGATAATATTTGGTGGGGTTCAGTCTGGTACAAACAGCACTGTCATTCGAGAATACGTACAGTTAATTGGACATGCTCAAAGCAGGGGCTTAAAACAGATACACCTGAAATATCTAGATAGTAAAATGAAATGGTTTGCTGATCGCTCTTTCACACCACCATACAACTTACTAAACACGGAAGCCAACGCTATATCCAAAGCACTCCTAATACACACAAACGCACCAATTTCAGAATTAGCCCAGTCAGGAGATGACGTGGATTTCTCATCGCCAACTACCACAAGTTACAGATATCGTTTGTTGCCTGAAGCCAAGAAAGCTATTAGAGCGGACGGGATTTCATCTGAAATCTACAAACCTTGTCCACCATTCTTCCTTGGCCATTTGCACGAGCTTTTCTGTTCGGTATGGGAGACCAAGACTGTCCTTCCTCGTGGAGTATCTCAGTACTACTGCCATTTCCCATAAAAGGTAACCAAACTGTATGCAGCAATTATCACGGGATTAGACTAATCGGTGTGGCCGCTAAAACCTTCGCATGAATCTTGCTTTCCCGCTTTGCTAATGAGAAGAAGCTACGAACACACCACAACCAAGGTGACTTTCGTCCAGGCAGAGGCTGCATTTATCAAATCACTCTACGTCGAGTATTCGAACAGCGCTACCAGTTACAGCTGCCCACGTTGTTCGCGGATCTTAGAGCCATAGTGGTCAAGGCGTCAACGTTTGAACACTAGGCCTCGAGGCCCACTCCAGCTCAGGCTAACTCCATCTGATGAGTCCAAAGGAGGACGAAACCGGTTATGGGGTGTCAGGGTTGGGAGGAGCAACACCAAACCACCAGCCCACGTTGGGTTGCTTCGTTGATTTTCCAGCTGTCTTTGATTCAGTTGAATGTGAAGTACTCTGGAGAATCCTACTTGACGATGGCGTACCGGTCAAACTCGTTAACTTGATGAGACCCTACTACTGTTACACGAAAGCTCGGATTCGGGTCTATGGAGAAGAAAGGAAGAAATTCGACATCAATACTGGAGTCCGGTAGGGTTGCCCACTTTCTCCAGTGATATACAACGTCGCGTTCGACTGGGTTATACAGCATGACCTTGAGAGTTATCGTAGTGTTCAAGTTAGCCTTGACTTTTGGCTGTCAGATATAGAATTTACGGACGATATCACAATCCTTACAGAAGGTCCTATATCACTACTAAATTGAGTCGATCAAACAACTTCTATATCGGCCTCGAAATTAACATCAGCAAGACGAACTACTTCTCATCGTTAGTAACCCAGTCCGCCCCGTCATCCTTCTTACATGGACAACGCATCGAGTCAGTTCCTGAATTCAAGTACCTTCGATCCGATATTCTCCCCAAGGGGCAGGCTACATCGGAAATCCGGAATCGTATTGACTGTATCACAGCAGCCTTCTTACTACCGAGAAACACATGGTGGCGAAGGACGGAAAATAGTCTGCAAACGAAAATGCGAATATTTTCAGCAATCGTTCGAGCCATTTTAGGTTATGTTTGCGAAATATAGTCGCTGCGGTCCGAAGACACCCGGAAGCTGGAAGTCCTCGACTATTGGTGTTTGAGGCTTATCTTGAAAACGCAGTGGCATAAGCGTATCACCAAAGACGAAATCCGTAAGCGCAGTTACGGTCTTCGGAAGCTCACAGTGCTCATCCAAGGCCGCAGACTTCAGTGGTTCGGTCGCGTCCTCCGCAGACAAGACAATGACTTCACTAGGGCCGTGGTTTCGCCCTCACCATGATAAGGCTGGTGTCATCGCCGTGGGGTATAACTGGAAACGTGGCTCACTCCAGTTAAGTCGGATGTCGATCTTCTGGGACTCCGGGTTGTCCACGATGCTCGTCACTGGAGAAGTCATTGGATCAGTATCAGGGTGGAGCTTGTTGCGCACCGCCGCTCTTAGGCAGCTGTAATACGTAGTAAAGTAAGAGATAGAATGTGTCATCGTTTCAACTTCCCGCTTGGAATCCATTACACCATGTGTTATTCCATAGGAATGACCAATGTGAGTGGCGAGATTAATGTAGGGAACTGGCTAACGCATATTCGTTACATAGGCACCCAGCTTTCTATCATATTCAAATTCGCACAAAGCATTCCAGAGTTTAGCCCTCTAGGAAAACAAGATCAAAAGGTGTAATCAGCTTTTTTCCTGTTGATACCATGACAGATGGGAAGAAAGGCAACACAACATGGTTAATCGCGGTGGATCGACTAAACGAAGTGGATGCTCGATGTGTCTAGGTGAATGGACTTGTCAAGGTCAAGCGTGGAGAAGTAGTATGATCGTCAGTGTGTCTTGGACACAAGCATTGACCTTAGAGAAGAACGTCGACAACCTCCGCCAAAAGCCAGTATCCGATTCCTAGGGTGGTACCTGGGTTTTCAGTGAATCGATTAAAAGGGCTGGTATGTGCTGATGATCGAAGAAATCAATTATGACCACACTGCGATCGTCATTACCTTCCACGCCAAACTTCAGAACCGTGTTTGAGAATGTTTCCCTGCCCTTTCGGGTGGTTGTTTATTGGGTTCCCAAACACACCTTGTCTGATACGAACAAGTGTAGTCAAGTCAAGTCAATTCAGCATAAGTTTTATTTATCCAAATGGGTGCGTTTTCAGCCTTTTAAACAATCGACTAAATTTAATAAACGGACAGCATCAAAAACGCTAAAGTTTACAAGTGGGTATAAAAAGGAGAACGGTGCAGTCCTAACTCGATCAAGCAACAATCGCATAACGCTTCACTATATCCACGGGATTTGCATCCATTCAAAAAGGCAAAGTTCCGTTAAAACGTTTCTTCATAACTCGTTATAGCTGAAGTAAAATTGTGTGCCCAAAAATGATAGATGGGGGTTCGTGTGCGATATCTCAGCATTTATAATTAAGAGGTTGATTGAGTAGAATGGTCTCAGTGACGTTTACATAGGAAAGTATCTGTCGGCTTATTCTTTCAAAAATCATACATCTAAAGTAGATAATCTAAAAGATGATTGTCAGCGAAAAAGGCAATGGCCGATTTAAAGGTATATGCTGAAAGCAAACTTTTACCAAAATATTCTGTCCTTAAGTTGCCGGTCCACGACTGCGTTGAGACGAAACTGACATGAAAACCGGTCGCATCGCGGTTCCGTCGAGTGGTCTCTTCGGCTATTGCATCGCTCACAAAAAGCAACGATAGGTAGATTAACCGCATTTCGGCAAAAGCAGTTATAACCTTTGGCATCAGTAGACTTTTGCGCCTCCCGAAGAAGTCGCTTATATGACCTTGTTATTGAACCTTCTTCGGGTGGAACTCAGTTAGTTCGAAAGCAGTCTCCTAGTAATCGTTTGATCCTTCTTACAGCGAAAGTAAGGATAATATGGTACTGAGTTGCTCACTGGCAACTTATGAAAGTACCGCGACGATGTAACGGACCACGTGCTTTTCGCAATATGGTGGCTGTATGATGTTAGCGTATGATGGCGAGGTGTGGATGAAGTGATTTTGGAACACTGTTTACCGGGGTTATAGAGCAAAAATCTTTCTGTATGTCCCATCATAATTCCACATTTGTATAGTTTATCCTTCATGGAAGTTGATGTTATATTGTAGAGAAGAAATAGTGCAAAACTCGTAGTGAATCACGTATAACACATTTTACAAACCCACGTGAGTAACACTACGTCATCGGATGAGAAAGATGTTCAAGTAAGAAGTTTATTCAATCGGGATTAGTGACAGCGAATTGGAGTGTTGAACAGCAAGGGTGAAGATGCAGAGATTGCGCAGTGAAAATGTTGGGCGAAACCATAATCAACAAGGTAAACCAACCTGACAGGAAGAACCCAATGGGTGAGAGAAATCACAGGAGTGATATTTTCTGTACTGAAATTAGAACGTAGAACCATGCGGATGCAGAAATCACTTGTTGTCTGAAAATTGAGAGACCGGAATGGAAGAATACAATTAGTGGCTAGCTCAAGGTTGGTCGAAATGCGCAATTCAAGCTGTATGCGCGAAAGGAGAGTGACGACCACACAAAGATCGGGAAAATATACGGGGACGAGAATGGAAAGACCGGTATTTGCAAACGGCTAGAGTAAGAGCAACCAGCGTAGACTTGCAAACTGAAGGACAGGCAAGAATGACGATAAATGGTGAAGAAATAAGCAGATATCCCTCATATATTCTGGCAGTCCTTACTCCCTCTAGTAGCATTAGTTATACTGTCCCGTGGAACAAGCGACCAGTAACGAACAGACTGTGTGAGAACACAACATTTCGTATTACGCACAAAAGCTGCCTTAACCCGAGCAGGAGTATGATTAGATTCTCATGAGACTATTGGCTTGACGAATTGTTACAAAAAAGATTAGCTAATATCTAGCAAATAAAAGAGGATATTCACACAAAACAGACGACCCGGAATGTTTACAAATTGCTTTCCAAACACAGGCATCCTCAGCCAAGCCTCAGAAATGACAACTAATATAAGAAACAAAGAAAACGGGGATTCCTGATGCGAGAATAAAGTTCTTCATTGACAAAGTACTGTTGCTTGGTGGGACGCAGGGTAAGATTAGGGAGCGACGTTTCAACGCATAAACTTGTGCTCCATTCTCCACATTCCAGCATTTCGGTGAAGGTACAAATGAAGAGTTACGAGGGCCTAACCGCATGGGAGCTGTTACAGGAGCAATAAAAATACAGGTATACCTGTGTAACCGTTTATGACTGCAGACTTTAGTTTCGCTCTGGTGGTTCACTGATGTTTGTTCTAACGTACCATGACGCTAACCCTATTGGCTATTTGGAGCCGTTATTTTTGCCCTCAGATCGCACCCTACTCTGACGCTAACATGTACACTTTCCATTTTGTGTGTGCACCTATTTGGTTCCTCATTTGTTCAGTCTTTAATGGTTAACTTGTCCGCACGCTTTCTGTATTCTGTTTGGCACTCAGGCTTGTGCTGAGGCTGAGACTATTTAAGAGCAAGTAGAAAGGTTTCTGTGCAACTCTATCGAATTACGAAACATCAAAAACATTTAGTTGTGAATCATCAGCAGTTGTGTCTGGTCCGTTAATCGGTTATCCTTGTTCGGTTCGGAATTTGTATCTGTGTCATTATTTCCGAGCATACAATGTCTTCTTTTGTATTGTATGTGCATCGTTCCACAAAAGCACAATTTTCCGAAATAATCGTCGATACGCGTTTTAAAACACTTCACAGAATCGGCCTCTATTAATCCTTTGGGTAGCGTATTCCATAAGTTTACGATTCTTCGTTCGATACAAAGCTGATGTGATACTCTGTTCATGTTGGGGACCCTGAGTTTGTAACGGTGTCCTCGGGTGTTACAGGGTTCCCGCAGGTGAAATATTGGCCGCAGTATGGGGAGGTGATTTAAGTGTAGTACTCGATGGATCGTTATAAGGTCAATTCTTACTCGGCGATAGGATAGGGTGTAGAGTCCCAGTGTTTCACAACGTTTTTCATACGGAAGCTTTTGTAGACTCGGTATCACTCTAGTTGCGACATGCTGTATTTTGTTCAGCTTTTCAGTTTCCCATCGAGGTTGACGAGTAGCTGGTACACTTCGACTGCATCCCATTGTAGGCTGTTGATCAAGACTGGCGCAACCTATGCCGGTTCTGAAACCGCCGCCGGTTTACTGGAAAATACAGTGAGGAAGTGCGTAGCCAAGGCGTCCACGCGCTCCGCGCTTGAAATGAACGTCTTTCCGTCTAAGCGTCATGTTATACAACGAAGTGTTTTCCTTATGTAAAAAACCTTGAAATCCCTGTCCCCAGCCGTTCGTGTAGGCACAACCGTTAGTGGGTGGAAGCAGTCGCGGAAGTAGATCCCCAGAAGACGGTTTCATAGTTGGCTGCATTACTTCAGTCGAACATTTGACTATATCTACACTGATTCTTACTGTCAACCTTCCATTTTTCTAGTGCATTTAACTGGTCGACCACTTTGAAGACGCATTTGTGAACCGATTCAAAAAAAACTGAAGAAGTACCGAGTTTATGCGATCTCGCTGCAGAAACTGATCAGACTACGTAGTGGACTGTACCTCGTGCCGTCAAAAAATAGACGATTCATTATACCACAGAAGCCTGTCATGAAACTTTTGCTGCATACGCAAGGTGAACAGGTGGATTGTACATAACACACGCATTTCCGGACTTACTTATTATCTGACAAGCTTTCAGTACACTAGTCAAGTGAATCACATGCCAAAATCAAGCAAACAGAACTACATCCACTTGTGGTATACACACAAAAGGACGACAAAACCTGTGCGGAACGAGCTGCGCAAATTGCGCACGCAACTTTCTACAGGCTGCGAAATATACTCATTGTTGCTGATAGCATAAAGTCGCAATTTCTGGTATCTCCATCGGTGTCACCATACGAAAAGCATGTTGAGGTAAACATGGCATGCAACGGAAGTCGTAGGAATGGATAGAGTGGAACTGTTACGGAACTAGCATAGATCCGCCAAACTTGCGCAGATTTCGCCGGGCTCACTTGAGACATGCAATCACCATGTGGCTACTCAGACTGGGTTGGAAAACAAACGAGCCAAATGACAACGAACCAACTGAGCTTTACTCAGAACACTGATGCACCTGCTTTGTAGGCTGCAGAGAAACCACTGAACGCTCCTCATGACACTACTATCTCTATGGTGTCATGCCGCAGTGAACCACAGGTGCTCCGCAGTTGCTGCCGCAGTCACTGCACAAACCCATATTGAGGCCAACTGAGATTCACTCTTGACACCACACCTGGAGGACAATTAATGTGCCTTGTCAACATGCACCTTTCTCCATGGTTTACGCTATCCCATTGAGCTATAAAAAGAAAGGTGTAGAAGTCATGCTTCATCTTGGTTGAGTCAGTAAAAGAACTCTTGCTAACGACCAGCCTTCTTTCTCGTCCGCGTCTCAGTGCAGTCGGTGCTAGATTGCGCGTATACGCCTCCAGTCTTAGCTGATGTGTACGTCTGGCGGCTAGATATCGTTAGCTCGCAACATTAGGAATTCGATTGGCTACTCTGCACGTGTGGGGTATTGTATGTGAAGAACGTTCGTCAGTTTCGACTGAGTCGTAACAACTATGGACAGAGAAATCGTATGACCCAAGAAGAAGGCTATTATCACTACGGCAAGTGGGTCACCATCGTCACAGAGACTTCGTGGACAATGGAACCTGAATTAACATGAGGAACAGTGTTCAAGGTCAAAAACAGGGACTAATGAAAAAAGATAGTCCGGGTAAACAGCGATTCGAAAGGTAAAAAGCTGTGCCGAGTGCCTACCATTAGAATTTGTCTTGGGGTTGGTTCCAAACCACGAAAATACAACTCCCCGAAGACCACAGCTGGGGCTTCAGGGCCCCAATGTTGAGCAATCGTCAGTTCCATATAGTCAGCTTCCCAGCTGATGGGAAACACGAGGTGGGTTGCTCCTTCAAAATCATCGCTAAGTCTGTTCCTGGTCGATCCTCGTCGACAGTTCACCGGTGCGGCGCCTGTTTCGCCGCGCCTGTTAAGAGCCAAAAGGGGCCAGGTGATTTCCTGAGCGTGCGTAGTGAGTCCTGAACGAGGCTGCGGCAGCGATACGGTAACTTTGAACTCACAAGATGCATCGTTCTCATCGAGTCGAGCGAGACGAAGGACTGTTGCGCGTGGACAAAAGTACAGTTACGCTGGAAGTTGTATTATAAACGAACTATCGGAAACATAACTAAAAATGGTAACTTCAGTTGAAGAGGCTGAAAGAGAAGCAGTAAACAGTACACACCAACGTAAAAATGAGCCGTTTTAAGAGTGCGGTGACGACTGAAACAATGTACGCCTCTATCATTAGAAGACAAGGGATTACACGTAGGCTTCTGTATAAGTTAAAACTGTTTGATTGCGCAAACTACTAAATAATGCCAGAAGTGGAGGAAAATGTGTCACTTACCCCCTGCAGTCGAACCAAACGGGACATTGATAAACCAACGACGGACTTTGTGAAAAGCATCAAACGTATCCGTAATAGGCAGTCTGGGGAGTTCTGAGCCGCGGGTCGAGGGAAGGCTACAATAAATGAAAACAACACATATGTAGCTGAGAACACAACAGCGATGAAGCCAAAGATCACCATCCCATTGTAACGAACACCATGGCATCGAAGAAGAAGAAAAGGACAGCCATCGGGGACACAGTACATTTCAGCATATCCAAGCGTAAGGTTGTCCAAGGTCAGCAGGGAGACGATCGATTCGAAGATTTCCCTTCACTACTGGCTTCTATGATCGCTTATAGGGGTAGCCAGTAGAGGATTCCGATAACGAGTGTTGAATTGCGGTCAGTTTCCAGTAAATTGCCAACATACAGGCGGAGATGGCAGAAATAAACCCCATAGAGTAAGGAAGTTAGCGCAATTTCCAGAATGGCTAGCAAGTTAAAAAGCAAAATAAAGTAACACCCTGATACAGATCGGCGGACAGGCACAACCAATATGCCAAGAACCCAATTTGCAATTAAAGTAAAATAGGAATAGCATGAATGGAGCAACGTTGGGCTAGCATACTCGATGTAATAGAAACTATCTAAAGGACAGGTTAGGGACGGAACTGACTGGGGTTAACTCGAAAATGGTCCAGTGAATTGTGAGTTGCAATCAATATTCACATGACGGGTACTTCAATGAAACCAACGATGAGCGATAAATCGCTGTTACAATTGTTCGTGGGGCTCGAGTCACAATTCGGTTATCCCTCTACGTGAAGGATGCAAACAAAAACCCGATCGGTCGTGGAGAGCAGTGTTAGAGGCATACAGTGCTAAACATTCAGCCGCTTCCGAGATGATCACAGTGATCGAACTACTCGATGTCAACTTTTCAGTGAACGGCGGACCATATTCGGATTGCATACCGCGATTCAGTAACTCAACAAGTACTTTCGACCAACCAGCAACGACACAGATAAGTTGCGAATTGGACTACTTAGGCATGTAGAGGAACGATATTAATCAGTGAGAGCTAGTCAGGTCGTCCGTAGGAGCCAGTGGATAATAAGCCTGTACGTATTGGTTGTAAACGTAGGCTATCGGTGACACATACAAGTCTGCGTAAGCGACATGTTGGATTAATGTTATGTGTTGCCCGAAACGCAGCAAATGCACTGCACGACTGATTTCACACTAATCTGGATGCGTCAGATGGAATTGGTAGGAATGAGACTCGAACCCGGGACCTATGGAATATTCCAGAGATCCTTGCTGACATACATCAGCTGAAACGTCTACCCTTAAGCAGTATTGGGAGCGGGTAACATACATCTGTTGCAGGCACAGTCCAAGTAACCGAATTGACAAAGTATACTTCGGAGTAAAGGGCGGTCCGAATGTGACTGCATGTCACAATCTATCCACACAATGAGTGGATCAGAATGACCCCATGCTACAGTGGATGGTGAAGCAGGCAGTGCAGACCCCTGGTAATGCGGATGACAATCTGTGATGACGCACGCGCTGTAAGCAACAACGATGCGACGGTCCTAACCCCTGCTGAAGCAGGCATTACTACCCATGAGTTTGATAGTGTTCTGATGCAGGTGCAAGCGGATGTACCGCTCTCTGCTCGCCAAAAATACAGCTGTCAGGAAAATAAAAAGATTGCTTGTGGACTACAGATCACAATACGTCAGAAACTTGGGTCGAAGAAGGGGAGACGCTCAATGATTCAAACTAGTAGAATCTGTAGTGCATGAAGTAGAAATGAGTTCGAGGTCTGTGTGGTCAGCCTAATCGTTGCAACACGTAACAACTACAACATGCAAACCCACAATATCCGTACAACACAAGCCCAATGTCTGTCAACAATATGGAGTTGTACACAAGGTGGTTGGGAGGTTTCCAACTACTCAACGAAAAGGGGAAACACATTTACACCATGCAGCCATTCAAAGTGGAGCTGTCGTCTTAGCATCATCGAACCCGACAAATCGGAGCGTAATACTCCGTTGACTCGAGTTATCAATGCATGATATTTTACAAGAAAACTAATAAAACTTTCTACAGATTAAAACGGCAAATTTCATTTTATGAATGCCCAAAGAGTGGCAGCGAGAATTGTGCAATAACTAGCTAATTCCCGTGAAATTTGATCACGCGGTCCATCTTGATGTAGCTCGGACCCTGTAAGTTCGTAAGTTTCTCCAAGGAAAAGCGGAAGTTATTGAAGCACTACATAAAAGTTCTGCCGAAAAACGCAACGAAAGACATTTGCGGAACAATAAAATCCACAATCCGGTTGTGCACGCTTCTAATACGAACATACTAAATGTAGTTAAATGTCGGCAATTCTTGATTAAACCGAAGTATGTTCACCTCGCGAAATGAAATAAAAAGTGCTAGTTATCCAAATATTAATTTTATCGGTTTATAAAAGGCACAAATGCCTTTAAAGTGGCTATATGGCAACTAGATTGCAGTAAACAGACGCACAGCACTAAAACTGATGATCAATTTGGCTTGGTCATAGATAAACGGAAGAAGAGTACGCATCGATGCCATCAATGATCATCCAGCTGGACTAGAAGTGAACTGGCATAATAGCCAAAATACACGGATTCCGAATTCTCCACAGAGGGAGAGGAAATACGAGGAACAACCTCTGAAATTACACCTAAATCCTCACTGCTCATTAGTAAAGAAAAATCCTTCCATACAGATTCTAAGTGCTGTGGCGTACACAGTTGCGATGCGAAATGTCATAGCGACCAGGGCCAACAACTTTCCTCTGCACAGTTCGTAACTGCCATTGCAATGGAGGATGAGCCGCACTATATCTTACTCATGCAAGTCCGCGGCCGTCACCCATAGCTCAGTGGCGCAAGCTGCTGACATCCGGAAGTCATGGGGTGGGAACCTGGCAACAGTCAGAAGAAGGCGCACCACTGATGTGAACCAGAATGTCGAAACAGTTATCTGATGCTTTTCCAGACGTGTCGGAGTCCGCTGACTAAGAGGGGATTGCGACGAACTACCTCCGAAATTGCACCCAAATACCCACTACTCATTAGCAAACAGGTTTAATTGGGCGAACACATACTGACAACCTCAGGCTCGACTGCATGCGCGCTTTCACAATTCAAAATGAAATATCACCTACAGATTGATCACTGATGGGCAGTTAGTTTAGAAGCTGGCAGATTAAGCAAACTGGGGTCCAGACTGCAGAACTTTAACAACCAAAATTGCGGAGACAGAAGATATAGCAAAGATAATTTGTTCCGACAGCAGATTAGTAGCACTCAATCTTACGTGATATTCAAATTTAGCTAGAGATATGCGCTTGGGTGCTGTACTACTTACCATATTTAGATATCATCATGCATTCCTCTGGCAATCCACATATTCCTTACATGCAAAATTGCTGACTCGAACTTAGATTTACATAGAAGATGCGCCGCGGAAAGAAACGACTGTTGTTATGGATAATGATGCTAACATCGTCTAAAAAAGAAAAGGTGAGGAAACGCGCGAACTTACACAATGGGTGTATGGATGATGAGCGGCACATGAGCGAGCACGCCCAATGATGGACGCTTCGGATCTGTGAAAGTGATGAAAGTAACATAGGGTTCGCTGGAGCTAAAACCGCTAGGAATGGGCGGCGCTGTAGTGGAGAGCGGTGTACTCCGGTTGAGGGTACCTTCTTGGCTTGTTGCCTTGCGATCTATACTGTAGGAACTGATAGATGGTAGAGAGTTGCAAAATCCTTCGTGAGTAAACTTGTTCGGATCGAGCAGGAGAATGACGTCACGACCTTGGTTTGTGACAATCACCGAAGAGGCCAACTGTATCCAAGCTGGTCGGCAAGATACCCCCGAGTGTGCTGAGGCACCTTCGTTGGTAACTTGTAGTTGATTAGTCACACCGATAGAAAGATGCAACTCCAGGTGACGACGAAATTCCAGTGGGACACACTGGTCAAAACAGACAAAGCGAAACGTTGGATGATTTAGCAAGCGGGATAGGGCTCTTAGTAGTAAAAGATGAAACATCGTAAATTGCTGAAGACTCAGTACGAGTCAGTTTTCGGCACCTTCGCACGCAGTACAATGGAAGGCGCTAATTTTACCCCCATCGCTGCCAGACATCCCGTGCAGTTTACATCAGAGAAAGTCTTGGAGAAATTAAAAAAATTAAGGACAGACAAATCGCCGGGTTTGGATGGGATCCCTCCCATTTTTCTACGTGAGTGCGCCACTGTACTGGCCGAGCCGCTTGCCTTACTGTACAGCCGCTCCTACACCAGTGCCGAATACCCGAATGCTTGGAAGCAAGGGGTCATAACGCCGATATACAAGGGTGGTGACAGGACAAACCCCTCTAATTATCGAACGATAGCACTGCTTCACACTGCCTCCAAAGTAATGGAGAGTACCATAAACGATTTCTTGCGCTGCCATTTAGAAAGTCTGTCCTTAATAGCCCCGGAACAGCACGGGTTCCGCAGGGCTCACTCGTGCACCACGAATCTTCTCGCAGCCCTTGATTCCTGGACTGCAGAAGCAGACAATCATACTCCAACTGACGTGGTTTACGTGGATTTCTCAAAAGCATTCGACCGGGTCAATCACGCACTTCTGTTGAGTAAACTGCCGAGTTTGGGGATCGACCAGCAAACAATCTGCTGGCTAAGTACCTACCTGTCTGGCCGCACCTACCGAGTTCGTGTAAACGGCGCACTCTCCAGCACTCTGGCTACAACGACCGGGGTGTCCCAGGGATCCATCCTCGGGCCCCTGCTGTTCAATTTGTTCATCAACGACCTCCCATCCTGTATCAGCAGCCACATACTGCTTTATGCGGACGACGCTAAGATATGGCGACCTATCCGCAGGCCAAGTGATCAGGCACTTCTCCAGACAGATATCGATGCTGCTTATTCTTGGGCCTCGAAAAATTCGCTCCCGTTTAACATCGACAAGTGCAAAGTCATGCACATTGGGCAAGGTGTGGCTAATCCATACAATATCGGCGGTGTGCATCTGGGGACCATAATATCCGCCGACCTGAGCCCGAGCGCCAATGTAGCTACACTGGCGCGAAAGGCTAGCGTCCGCCTGGCCCTCCTTGGACGTGCACTAGGGTCTTTCCCTAGAGAGACATTTGTCCGTCTCTATAGCACTTTAGTACGTCCGCTGCTGGAGTACAACATACTTGTCCAGCCGCCGTACCTGAAGAAGGACGAGGCCATGCTGGAAACTGTACAGCGCAGAGCCACTAAGAGAGTGGACGGACTATCCCACTTCTCGTACGAGGAGCGTCTGGCGGCCCTTAACCTCTTCCCGTTGAAATGTCGCAGGCTTCGTGGCGACCTTATCTTAGCTTATTCCGTCCTGACTAATAACAGGCACCCAAACGCAGGATTGCTGGTCCGCGCCCGTACAGATCATCTTCGAGGGCACTCACTCAAACTGATGACTCGTAGCAGTCGCCTTCTGTGCCGAAGAAACAGTTTCAGTGTGCGTATTGCCTTCGCTTGGAACGCCCTCCCTGAAGTTGTTGTCTCAGCGCCCAATACGGAGGCCTTCAAACAGCGCCTAGACGCTTGGCTCTTACCTCGCTGGTCTTCCACGTTGCTAAGATCTGGCCATTTGCCAAGCTAACACGCGGCGCTTCTATCATTTTGCTTCTATCCAACTTTGCCGAATTTACCTACACCACTCTCTTGTTCCAGGTATCCACGTTCCCACAGTCAACTCGCTGAATACTTGTGCTGAACACCACTACTGCGTCGAGACCCACAACATCTGATACCTACAGACGAGATCAGGACCTTGCCGTAAGATCCCGAGACAGAACCACCGAAAAGCTACGCTTACTCGTTCTGCGCAAACCCGTGAAACCCGTGAAATGAGTGATGCTGAGAGGCCAAAAATTTACAGTGAACAGAAATTGGGTTTAACCATGATTAAAGTCCAAATGCTGATGGGAACGGAGTATGTCGGTCTGGAGTAATTTCCTACCTTCAGTTGGTTGTCTGAATGTTCGCTGAGCTCGGCAGGTTGAATGCAAACGTTTCGTCACCACTCGAGGTGACATCGTCAGTGCGCGTGTATTTAGCAAAGTGGCGCGTACAGAGCGTCAGTGAGTGTGGAGTGATCGATCTCCTAGCCGCTAGTCTGAGTTTGGATTGTTCGACGAGCACATGACCATAGAAATCGATCTCTGATTCTCACCTCGTAGTGTACGCGCGTGTGACTCTTCGCTTGTCGTCGTTTGATGCAGAAGTCTAGCGCTCTGTTCCGTTAGATTTATTCTACTAATTTGAGGATCTTTCATCCGTAGTGTTGTATATATAGCATCTATTTCAACGTGTCGGTTTATTGAACTGTCTGTAGAATACCATGCTTCTAAGAATTCTCTAGCTTGCCTCGAATTTCCACGGGCTAGGATCTTAACGTTCTCTAGGTCGAGGTGGTGGCCTTCTTGATCTTCATGCATGGAAACCAATGAATGTAGGTCGTGTCTCCGTATGGCCATTCTGTGTTCGTTGATCCGTGTTGATAGTTTCCTTCCAGCTTGCCCGATGTAGTGTTTGTCACATTCTTTGCAGTTAATTTTGTAGATGACATCATTCTGACTGCTTTGTTTAACTTTGTCCTTCGGTCTTGAAAGCAATCTTCGCAAAGTACCTGTTGGTTTGTGGGCTACCAAGATTCTATGTGGTCGTAGCAATCTTGACGTTAGTTCAGATACATTCTTGATGTAAGGAAGCGCTACCCGTTTATCTATGTTTTCCTGTTGTTGTTGCTGCACCCTCTTCTTTAGGCTTTTTCGGATGAAGTTTCTTGGATATCCGTTGTTTTGCAATACCCGATATAGATGGTTCGCTTCCTTATTCTTCAATTCTGTCGTGCTGCAGTGTGTTTCGGCCCTATTGAAAAGGCTTTGAATGCAGCTTTTCTTGTGGTTCAGTGGATGGTTGCTGTGATAGTTTAATATTTGGTCTGTATGGGTCTTCTTTCGATATACACATGTCTGAAGTGTTCCGTCAGTGTTTCTTTGGACCAGTACATCTAAGAATGGTAACTGGCTGTCTTTTTCGAGTTCAATTGTAAACTTGATATCCTGGAATGTGTTGTTGATTAACTCATGGGTATTCTGTATGGAGTCTCGTTTGATGACGACAAACGTGTCGTCCACGTACCGGATCCATAATTTGGGTTTGATTAACGGCATTGTGATGCTCTCCAGTTTTTGCATCACAGCTTCAGCAATAAGTCCTGAGATGGGTGATTCCATGGGCGTTCCTTTCAGTTGTTGGTATACTTGCCCATCAAAGTAAAAATAAGTAGTCATGCAGAGTTCCAATAGTCTCCATATGCATTCTGGTTTGAGGTTTCCTATTGTGTTAGGTTGATTACGAAGTAATTCCAGCATGGTTATTTTGCAAGTTCGTGACTGATCGAAGTGAAGAGCGCGGTGACATCAAACGACAGCATGATTTCATCTTCCTCTATTGTAACACACTTCAATTTGTTGATGAATTGTTCGGCATTGATGATGCTTTGTTCAGAGAAGGCAATTAGATGTTTTAATGTCTTCCACATGCATTTTGCCAATTTGTAAGATGGGGTTCCTGTTAACGAGACGATTGGACGCAATGGGACTCCGTCTTTGTGCACCTTTGGCAATCCATAGAACCTTGCAATGTTTGTATCCTCAACTTTCATCTTCCATCGCTCCTGCTTGGTAATCTCACTCGTTGCTTGTAGTTTCTTAAATGCTGTGTTGATTTGAGTACTCAGTTTTGTACTAGGGTCCTAATCTATGGGACGATAGGTGGTCGTGTCGGAAAGGAGTTGTTTGGCTTTGTCAACGTAATCTGGTTTATCCATCATTACTGCATTGCGTCCCTTGTCAGCTGGTAGGATTACAATATTGTCTTCCTTTTGCAGCTTTCTGAGTCCTTCCCATTCTTCTTTTGTAAGAGTATGTGTGAATTTGTTGCGAGTTATCGCAGGGACAACTGTTTGTCTAGTTTGCTGCCGCGATTCTTCTGATAGTCCGTTTGTGTTCAAAACTTGTTCCAGATTAGCCAAGTAATCTTTGTATGATGCATCTTTTGCGTTAAAGTTTAGTCCTTTGATTAGTATGTTCTCCTCCGTTGTGCTGAGTTGACGGCTCGACAAGTTTTTGATCCAGCCTTCACTGTTGGGGTGGTCAGATTTTCTCGTAAGCTTATTCAACTTCATATTCAGTGCTAAGTTCCGCTGGCTTCTGATGTTGTTTACTCGACGTTGAATCGCGGGTTCAAGCTCTAATTTACAGAATCAACACGACATTGTGTTATTTGTTGACTGATCTGTCCATCGCTCAGCAGCTCTCGCATGATCAATGCGGACAAATCAGTGGTACTCCGTAGAATCAGTGCTATGCAGGTAACGATGACCTTCATGTCAAAGTATTGAGGTTGGCCATAAAAAAGCAAGACTCGCAGTAGTCCTGCATAAACGGCACTTACTACAAAAGGGAGTCAACCTTGGGAACTAAAGGTGTCGAAGATTTATGGAGAGTCTTGTCCCTCGCAACACGTGAACTAGTTTCAATGGTCTACTAGCAGTGCACCAAAGATAAGTAATTTTATCAACTAGATCAAACTGAGAACAGCTAAAGGAGAAAACGACACGATGAAATATATCCAGCATCAATTGTTCGATCATGCGATTGTAAGAGAGCAAAGCGTTCATCCTCGGAAACTGTATCAGCCGATATTCACCCAAGTAAATCAATACCTGAAACGCGAGCTTAATAAGGGAACCCTTCAAGATGTTGTCAAAGTTGAACAACAGTGGGTGTTGGGTGGACTAACTGGTGACTTTCATTGACATAACTATCGATTGGCTTCACTGACCCTATTTAAACTGCCATCTAACCACTATCACTCGAACAGTAGTTAGCTTCCCCGTTTGCT